CAAAAAAAAAATTTGGCAGCTCTGGCAATTCTCTGAAGTCCGCAGAGGGAAGCCCTGGTGTCACAGCACTGGGAGAGAGGAGGTTCCTGGGGTTCCCTCTGGTACCCTCAGGCAGTTACAGTTGCCCATCGGCCCTGCAGAGGGGGACTCCAATGAAGCTCTCGAGAGCCAAGAGAGCCTCTTTCTATAGACAACCACCACGACTAGGCTTTCCCACATGGCAGTGAAAGCAGGGTGTGCTGGGGAGAACAGCATTTTCATCCTGCATGCCAGACATTTCTTTACCAAGTGCTTTAGTCCACAAAGCTTGAACTTGCCAATGCTGCTGTGTGAAAGCCTGCCTCCCCAAGGTGACCTGGCAGCCTGGCCACAGAGCAGGAGGAGATGCCGCTATTTTGGAAGTACTGCTGGTCTCCCCAGATGTTGAGGGAAATAAGTTTTCAAATTCAGAAGGCAACTCAGAAGGAGATGGAATAAAAAGAAAAGGGGGTTTGCCCCCTCTTTACCCACTGTATCCCTGCACAGCACATCCTTTACTCTTGATTTCCTCCTCTGAAACCCTCCTGTGCCTCGCAGTTAGGAAGGCAGCAAACTCTACCTAGCCCTTCCCAGGAAAAGTCTCTCTAGTTCCAAGGGATGCAATGTCTCTTTCTTTTTGAATTGGAGAAACACAAGATGCTTTCCCTCCTCATGTATGGACCAGAATGAAGGTCTTTTCAGCAGCTTCCTCAGACTTTCTTATCCCTGAGCTGTGCCCTGAATACCAGAGGGTGAACAGAGGTCGAAGGTGGAGAGCAGAGATATTTCTTGATGTTGCAATTGTCTTTCAGGTGGTGTTCATTTCATACCTATTCATGTTGCACTACAAGTGCACACCACGATAATGAGCAGCACTCTTATCTAGGGTTATCACTAACAGCAGAATACAACAGAAAGCCTTTTCTGTCTCCCGGGGAGATCTGTTGAGGACATCTGTGAGTCAGCCTCACTTGGTTTCTCTTAATTTGAAGTCCTCCAGTTAAAAACCGTGTGGGTACTCCTTTCAGCAAACATCATTTCTTCATGAGGGTAATAGCCTGCTCTGTGTTTGGTTCCGGTTGAATTCTGGGCAGCGAGGGAGGGAAGGGGTTGACAACTGCCTTCAGGGAAACCCAGCTGTAAGGAGGTCCTTTCTACCTGGAGGCAAGCAGTGGCTGGGGCCTGTCTCTCCTGCTGTTACCCGGGCAGTCCTGGCCCTTATTTGCAAGGTTTTTGACTGCTAAGAGCAACACCAGAGCTCAGTACTGGTGACCCAGGAGCGGGTGCCCACCAGCATGAGGGTGGCCGTGGCTGCCTGGGCTCTGGCAACCCATGTTTTACAGGTCAGCAGCAAACCAGCTTGGCGTGTGCAGGTCCCCAGTGGGGAAGCTCCTGCTGGATTATCCATACCTTTTTTTATAAGGCTGCAGGAGGCGGGGGATGCAGCCCTTCATCATCCCCGTGAGGACATGGGAGACAGGTTTAGATTTGGGTGTCCTCTGAACCACAGCGCACCTTCTGTAGGACCCGCGGCCGGGGCAGTGCTGCAGGGATAACGTCAGACTGTCACTGGCATCGAGGAAGCCTTATTCACCTTTCTGAATCTTATGGTTCTCACACAGTGAGAATGTTTCCTTAGTACCATATACCAGAAATTATCTTTCTGAAAGTTGAAAGTTCATAATTTTGGCAGTCACAGCTCCTACTTTCAGTGGGTGGGGAGAAACTGGCCATCAGCCTTTTGATGTTTTCCTGAAAAAGGCGCAGAGTACTTTACATCTATTTTTAAAGAAGTGGCAGGATGGGGCTGCTGGCACATGTCAGAGAAAAAGGAGAAAAAGGTGAGTTTTGAAAATTTGCTGCTCTGGCCCTTTACTATTCCCTAACCTTTAAACTTTATTTTCAGCAGTGTACCTTCGCTGTTCCTGGCTAACACCTAACCAGGTATCGGTTCCCTGATTATTTCCATGGGCGCTTGTCCTGGCCCACGTGGCTGACATCACTTGCATAATTCGGCTGATGTTGGAGGCCCACAGTTTGACCTTTGGTATATTGCTATGTAGCTGTTGGGGATGTAACCTCTGCTAGATGAAGCATAACGACATGAAAAAACATGTAATTGGCAGAAATACCAGAACTAAACTTATACAAGAATATTTGCCTGGCAACTCGCTACACCAATCAACGAGCAACAGCCCAACCTGGAAGATGCTCTCCACCCCAAAAACCCCTGTACGGAGGCGGCACAACTCTGCCTTTGGGGAGAAGGCGTTTTAACCTCCCTTGGCATCTGAGGCAGGGACAGTACCTGGAGGTGTTTCCAGGACTGTATTCCTGTGTGTGCTGGAGGACCTTGGCATTGGTACAGCCCTCAAGCGGACGCAGTGTCTCGGATCCCCATAATAACACACCCCACTGCACAGCCTCCTGCCTGGTTTCGCCCCAGGTGAACTGCTTTGCGTGCCCCAGCAGTGCCTGGAAATGTGCTACACGGCATCCCAGGTGTGGGTGCCCCCGTACTGCAACCCTGAACATGATGCTCAGGTCAGGGACCAAGGCAGCTCCTTGATGAATGAACATGCCAATGCTTTAAACCCTCAGACTCCTCCGGTCCACTGGAAGCCCTGGGCTGCAGAGAGGTGTTACGCTCAAAATCTTGTTTACAGGCAAAGAGGAGGCACAACATATGTACAGGTAAAGCCAAGAATTTATTGTTAGTGTAGTGGCAATCTCAAGGCTCCAATTATTATCAGTCTAGATCTGCTGGTCGCAGAAAAAGGAAGAATACTAATGCACTTAAAATTGTTTTGCACACACATATTTTCTAGCCCTTTTCCTGGTTGTATGCTCACCCTTCCCCTGCTCCTCTGGGTCCTAAGGCTGGTGGTTTCACCCAGGTGGTGGTGGTGGGGTGGGGTGTTAGAGCGAGTTGTCAGCATCTCCAGCCCTTCCCTGGGACGAATGCAATGTTCATGCTGATGTTTTTTTCTGCCTCCCTCTAGGATCTGCTTTGGGTCGTTTTAATATGTTTTCTAACATGCTTCTATACCTCCTTCTGTCTTCACTGGTCTGCAACCTCATGTTACACCCCATTTACTATGTGTGGTGCCCCTTATGTATGTTAGATACTATTTTTTTTCTGTCACCGCTAAACCCAGTTTTGCCAGCTCCAGGTCTGCATTTTTTTAACCGACCATCGGTGAGTTGTGTATAGCTGTGGGGGTCCCCAGTGCCAGCCTGTGCCCCATCTTTTACCATCCTGTACCTGTACTCCTCTGTGCTGCATCCCGCGTCCCCACTGCTCAAGGCCACTGCTATCATACTAGACTTGTATTTCTATACACTGTACCGTTGTGTCTGAGTCAAAAATATCTCATTCTGCATAGGATAGGGGGAACCAAGGGGGTGAGAGCTTTTACATGCTGAGTATGAAGCTCCTCAGGCATTTCTGTCTCCTGTGCAAGCCCTTCTGCCCCTCTGAGTGGCCGCATCCTGCTTCACAATTTCACAAGGTGCCAGTACAACCAGAGCAGAGCACATTAATGCTTTCTCAGCACAGCTCCGAAGCTCAGCCCAGGAAGCTGCCCTGCCAAAGTTCACATGTTTCATAGGGTAGGCATGAGCACTAGAAAAGAGGAAATAAACATTTAAACCCAAACAGGCTCAGCTTGAAGGAAACATTGGTTTTCAATGCAGCTATGAATTAAGGTAAGAGACAATTATGTTTTACCTATAATTTGACAGAGCAGGATGACAAGAAATGGTGTCTCATGAACTTAAGGAAACTTCACTGCTTAGTGCTTGGAATCTAAATTATATTTAATTTGGGTAAGGATGATCTGGGTAATGTTTACAAATTGTGAAAGTAGAAAGGAGAACGCTTTTATTAATCAAAGCGGACCAGGGCAGAGAAATTTTACTCGGTGACTGCTTAGTTGTGGCATCTTGTGGTAAGAGAAATAGTCACCCTGGCCAGAAGTCCTCAAGGTTAAAGCAAAATGCTGATAGGTGACTAGTGTGCAGCATTAGCCCAGAAGGACAGACCAAGAAGATTCAGCCCTTCTACTTCATTAGGTGTTTTTTGTTAGATGTCTTCAAGGATTTCACAATTCACCAGCATTGCTTCCTTTTAGTTTTGGTCAGTGAACCAACATCCCAAACATCACTGACACTGAAAGACAGCCCAATACAGAAAATCTGGTAGAAATGATAAAAAGTGTCTGATGCGGACAGACCAGCAAGAGAATGGCAGAAATTAAAAAAATTTGAAACCCCAACTTTCTGTATGACCACATTACTTAATTTCTCTGTGACTCACCTTTCCATAGGAAGGATGTTGCACAAAGATGTCTGCTGGTTTGGGTCAGACATTTGGGTAATACAGTGGCAGAAGCCCGTTAAGTACTTGTGTGATACAAACATAAATCCAGAAACAGCGGTTCCCAGAATCTGGTCTGTTGGGGCAAACCCTGCGTGGAGGCAGCACAGCCAGAGGCAATGAACTGGGTGACAGGATAAAAGACAGCAACTGCAATGAATTACGAGGGTTTAGGCAGCGCAGAAAAAGTCCAAAAGGGAGAGGAAAAGGCTAAAGTTTGACAAAGGAGAACACATAGTAAATTGAGAGTATAAATCACATAGTAAACATGATCTTCCCAGGAAGGGGCTGGCAACTCCAGAACTTAAACCTCATCCAGACACAGTCAAGAAGGGGTAATGTGCGCTGCTCTCTAAAATGATGGAGAAGATGATTTAAGAAATCTCCCATTTCTATAGAGCCTTCTCAGATTTCTCAAGGATGCCAAGGCAATGTGAGCTTATTAATAACAAAAAGGGGGGGCAGGAAGTAAATAGGTGCCACAATAAAGGTGGTGAGAGGATGCAGCAAATGGTAACTATCAACAAGTACAAACAGTGCACATAGCTACAAACAATCATCTGTTTTCACTGTCCTTTCAACAGAAAATACAAAAGAAATTTGAATGCCGCTTAAGAAGGGAAGGCTTGGGAAAAAGAAATACTGAGGAAGAGCAGGTAAGAGAAAACACCAGCAAAATGCTCAGCTATACCTATAAAAAAAAGATACGGAGTGCCACGAGCAACTGTGCAAGCAGAAAGGGCAAATAGGGGAACTAACAGGCTGGAGGAAATACCTGTGAAACAAATTTTCCAAGAAAATCCTGATCCTGGTAATCACCATCCAGTCAGACGACAACCCCAAACACCCAGTGCCCCGCGGGCACTTCTTGGGAGGGCGCCTGGTCCCTCCCCAGTTCTGCCACTGTCCCCCCGGCAGCTGAGTTGAAGTGCTCCCCAGCCTCTGCGAGGGCAAAAATATTTTATTATTTATA